ATTAGAACCAATGGAATGTAAATAAGAAGAAACAAAAGTGGGTGAAAAAAATAACCAGCCGTGAGCAGGAATCGAACCTACAACCTTCGAATAACGCGTTTGATGCTCTAACCTTTGCGCTACCACAGCTTTTTTATTACCTGTTTTTCTTTACAGGTGTTCACACAGAAACATGAATGATAAAATACACTTGGACCAATATTTGATCCGAAGTGCTCACATTAAAATTTTTTCAGGTTGCACAGTTCCTCTAACATTGTTAGCCAGCTGGGAGGTTCTTCTTGTTGTTTTTACACCTCAGTGATATACAGCATATTTGCAATGAAGTTCTCCCGGACAGGACGAATGTTCTGGTGAAGATGTCTGTAAGCCATTGTGGTCTGCCAGATGCTGTGAAGGCTAACTAACATAACCATGTCATATGGTATGCCGTCGTCATCATTCACACAGAGAAAATGAATGCCATGGCTTGTAATGGGGAGATCTTTTTTCAATGTTCTTTGAAGGATGTCGCAATGAAAGACAGCGTCCCAGCAATGAATAGACACATGGTCCATTGTCTCAGGTGTTTTACAAAGTAAACAATTGGTTGTCCGTGGTACATCGATTCCCTTGTCTGCTAGCCACTGCTTTACGGGGAGAGTCTCGGAATGCAATTTAAAAAAGAAAGTTTTTGCTCCTGCTTTTACTTTCCTCTTTTTGACCCTATTCAAAACGTCCTGTCCGGGTCCTCCCTTGAACATAGATCTGTACAAAGGTGTTGGGAACAAGACATCATGGAGATTCATGTAAAGATTTTTTCGCTTAACAGTGGCAAGATATTCCAGCGAAAAGCGCACTTTCAAAAACTCAAAAGACTGTATAACTTCTCTCAAAAAACCAGTCACATATCGGCACATATCACTGTTTGTAGAAACAACAAAATCTGGGATGCGTGATGACAGCCTTACTTTTATCACTGTTTGCAGAAATTTGTTTATTTGATCGCGAAGGAAAATAAACCGAGAGACAACTTGTCTTATAAATAAATGACATACACCGAGTCCGCCATTGCTAACGGACTGGAATATTATACACCGGCTTGTACGTTCCCACGGCAATTCCCACACAAACACAGCAAAAATCCTGTTAAGCATCTGCACATTGACGCGTGACATACAGATAACTTGCATGACATACCAGATCATGGATGTCAAAAACATGTTGCATACATTCGCACGTGCGAATATAGACAGATCCCGACCACCCCAGGCATTTGTTTTTTGCCTTGGGGTTTCTGCTTCACCTTTCCAGTAATCCGCGTTGTCGCGACTGAGCTACTACAGTGGCCTTCCCACCATTCACTTTTTTGGGTTAATATGTGAATTTAGAAGTAGGAGTGTCAGTCAGCAACATCTATGAGCCAAGCGACGAGTGTCAAAACACTCTTTTATGCGCATGTTTGGCGTCACGTAGCACGTGAACTTATTACGAGCGGGCAGCTGATTAATAGTTCCTCGTATACAGCTTAATGACACCAAGTCTGCCAGTACGAGACCCTCGTTTAATGAATTAAGGGAAAGAAGTGTATACCTAAGGTCTCGTTTTTCTGTGTTTTGACACAATAATAATGAGATCCAACAGACAGTAATGCCAAGGAATGTACAGGGGACGTTATTAGAACAAATGGAATGTAAATAGGAAGAAAGAAAACTGGGTGAAAAAATAACCAGTCGTGAGCAGGAATTGAACCTACGACCTTCGAATAACACGTTCGATGCTCTAACCACTGAGCTACCACAACGGCCCTCCCTCCATCCACTTTTTTGGGTTTATATGTGAATTTAGAAGTAGGAGTGTCAGTCAGCGTCATCTATAAGCCAAGCGACGAGTGTAAAAACACTCTTTACGCGCATGTTTGGCGACACGTAGCACGTGAACTTATTACGAGCGGGTAGCTGATCAATAGTCCCTCGTTTACAACCTAATGACACCAAGTCTGGCAGTACGAGACCCTCGTTTAATGAAATAAGGGAAAGAAGTGTATACCCAAGGGCTCGTTTTTCCGTGTTTTGACACAATATTAATGAGATACAACAGACAGTAATGCCAAGGAATGTACAGGGGACGTTATTAAAACCAATGGAGTGTAAATAATTGATTGATTTGTGGGGTGTAACGTCCCAAAACCACCATATGATTATGAGAGACGCCGATGTGGAGGGCGCCGGAAATTTTGACCACCTGGTGTTCTTTAACGTGCACCCAAATCGGAGCACACGGGCCTACAACATTTCCGCCTCCATCGGAAATGCAGCCGCCACAGCCGGGACTTGAACTCGCAACCTGCGAGTCAGCGGCCGAGTACCTTAGCCACTAGACCATTACAGCGTCGCGCCTTTAAGTGTTGAACGCGATATTCTGTTCCTAGTGCGTACTTCAAACCAATGCCTCCTAGAAGTACTACGCCGGGAACGTGAGCCACGAACCCTGGGAATTTACCCTCCTCCTGTGGTACGTAGGCGAGCGCCTCTGACGACCACCCCTTGCAAACACAGCAAAGCTCTCACAGTGGCCTCCAAAAAGCTGCCAAGGTAAGTTCACGTGACTGAACGGTTTGGGGGTGACGGGTTTCACACGGAGTCCAGTGGCAACAAGCGACAGGTGGCATGGCCTCCGAGATTGCGCGCTGGCAGGAGGCTCCCAATGGAAAATAAAGCGACGCACCAGGCATAGTTTTTCCAAGATGCGTAGTTCAAACAGTTCGTTTAAGAAATGTTTTCGATCCTGCTACACACCCACTACGTGGCCTTAAGAATGCACTTGCGTGTGTGCCTTTTGTAGCTGGTTACTAGCTTTAAACTCTAAAGTCGTGTTCATTCACATGTTCTTACGCTCGATGGCAATGTACGCTTGTACCACGCAATATTACAGACGTATTTCATGTTGTATTTTGAACAACGTACATAGGACGAGTGTGTTCTTGACGCATGAAGTTACTTTGGCTTCATTACCAAGCTGAGGAAGTTGTTTTCACTGTATGCACAAGTAGAGGCGTGGCTGTGTGGTAGAAAACACACTTGCCACGCAAACGACGCGGGTTTAATTCTAACCAAGTCCCGTAATTCATAATATTCCGTGTTTGTTGCAACATTTCTGAAGTGCTAGATCACACAAAGATGGCCGATTTTCTGTCCCGGCAAGGTTATGATTTTTCACGCCGCACTAACGATGCCGGCACCATCGCCAGAATTTCTGTGAAACGAGCTCTTTAAAGAGATTGCCAGAGCTCAGCAGGGATCCTTCATCAATAGATTTCGTGCATACAGTGATACAAGCAAAGTCGGATTATTTCATGGGCGAGCACCTTTTCGCTTTCTTTTTTTAAAAAAAAAATGACGGCTACCTTCCTTCAGTTAATAACAATGCCACACAAACACTGAATACTATGTGAAAAAAAAGGTGACACTTTCTATGAAATTATACAACCTAATGCAAGGCATACCGTTTGAATTAAGTTTGAACATTGGGATAATTTGAAAGCCTTTTTTAATCTACACAAGCACATGAAAAATTTTCCTCAAGTTGAGATAGGGCAAGGCAACTCCGTTTTAAGTAAATTTTGGTACCAAGATGTGAAACTGTGCGTGATGGAAATATTTTTTTAGAGGTAGTGCGGCTAGGTAAGCACAACTAAAGCCAATCGCATACTAGATGAACTACAGTGCCTTAGTCTTACACCTTAAAACACGTAAATGCATGGCCTACAGTTTTTGTTTATAACCGAGTCGCTAAAATGCTGCATTCCCACACAATTTATTAGTTCGCATGTCTGGGACGATTCCAAGTACATTTAACGATGTGCTTGAAGCAGAAAGCGTCATTTCACAGTTAGATGATTCTGGCGAATGAAGCGTACGGTGACAATACACATAATTTCGGAAAGTTACACTCGTTGATCTTACTACGAAACATTAAGAGCCGAAGAAGACCAAATGCTTTCGTACGTCGTTTTTGGCATACGTACAAGCAGCGAAACTCGCGCTAGTGGAACCGAAAAAAAACTACCCTTTGAGAATGTGCTTGACGTTCTCGCACATGCAAACATGACGGTGCTAGCAGACAACGCACGGAGCAATCCACACTAGGCTCGCTTAAGCCTGTCGCCGCCAGGCGGCGACTCCATTCAATTTCTTGGCCAATAATACTCCGCACTTAAAAAAAAAAAAGAAACGGGCGGGAACACGCAAGCACAAGCCAGGCACCAGCAAGTGGTGTCGCAAGACGGGCAAGCTAGTGAAACTATTTGGACGCGTGCGGTCGTTGGCCTAATGTGCCCATTCGTACGCGGTCACTGGTATCGTGAGTCAGTATTGAAAGCCTCAACATCAGCGCGCCACGGCCACAAAACCCCCATGGTGGGTAAAGAAAGCTAATCAGGCAAATACGCGGAGAGAAGTCGAGTGACGCAGTGCGCAAGAAGCCCAACTGGTCCAGTTGGCTGCCGATCGCAGACTGGGCTGACTCCGCCCTATCCGACCTCACACACCCCGACAAAAAGTCTGTGCCGTCCCATTCACGAATCCGTAGGGAACGAGTCTAAAAAGAAAACAAACGAAAGCTCTCAAGAACGGAAGTACGGGGAGAGAGGAGGCGAGAGCGCTTCCCTCCCTCCTTTGCAGGCCACCCTCACCTGGCCTTTTACGTGAACACCGGGCACACAGCGGGGGCATACGCGTATCGTCCCCGAACGAGAACGGTTGGTGGGTTGCCCGTCGCGAGATCGGCTGGGCGACCGTTGGTGCAGCGGGGCGACGACTGGTCGAGAACGCTGCGGGGAGGCATCAGCCAGACTCTGGGCACAGATTACGCGATATGGATCACCACTCGAAGGACGTACTCCGAAAGCTTGGAACCAGGAGGCGTGCGCACCAGTGACGGACAGCTGTGGAAGCGATCGCGCACGTCGGGCCAGCGATTTGCCCGAGCAAAGTGTGTGCACCTCACAGCAAGCCAAAGGCATGGCGTCGTCGCCTCCCGTTGACTCTTTCCGCCAGCAGCACAGCGGTGACTCGCAGGACTCGGTCAGCTCCCACCAGCGCTGCAAGGCTGCGGCCGCGCGGAGGCTAGCGCTGCACACCGGGGTTCAGACTGCCCCGTACTCGGCCGCCGTGGCCCGACGCAACGAGCGCGAACGGAAGCGCGTGCACCTGGTCAACATGGGATTCGCCTCCCTGCGCTCCCACCTTCCCGACTGGCCCGTCGCGTCCAAGAAGCTGAGCAAAGTGGAAACGCTCCGATCGGCCGTCGACTACATCACCAGGCTCAAGGAGCTGCTGGGAGAAGCCGCCCGGGAGAACCTCAGACCACCGTCGTCCATGGCAGAGTCAGACCCGAGTCCCAGCCCCGACTCGACGGGACATTGTGGCGGGGCTTCCGGAGACACTCTCAGAGATGCCGTGAGGTCACCCATCAGTCTAGTGGATGAACTTGAAGCTTCGAGGGATGCCGGTGGAGACGAAAACAATCATTTCCTAGAATTGGCTCACTGGTTTGGCTACACCTCCTAACTGCACTGTTTGCATATCGCACCACGCTGCTTCGTAAGACTGCATGGATGTCAAAAGGTGAGCGCAACTTCTTGCTTACTACAGCTTCTATGAAAACATGTAAACGATGATTAAGATGCGAATTCTTAATGCAAATTTTCAGTGAAGCTTCGTGTCATGGCGAGGTAGTGCATGTGTTCGAAGTTTTCGCTTCCCGAAAAATATCAACTACGCAATGAATCTTAATTTTTGCGAATTAGGGCAGCACTCACTACGGCGTCGTTCATCTTTTCTGCGGATTAGTGTGGTACCCACTACACATCTGGAAGGCATCATATGCACCCTGTTGATGATGTATGTGGCTGATGACGACGTCGAATTGTAGCTGAGCACTTTGCAGCGGGCGTGATCTATTAAACAGCACACTCGATGCGCAGGCGCGTGATGGTTAGTTGTTATTTTACTCTTCTATCACGCTACATTGCATTGTCTAACGAAATACTTGCCGGACATGAAGCTTGTATGTGGTCTTTTTTGACCAGCGTGGCTCCGAGGCCGAATACTATTCTGTCACGTTGAGGGTCCGGATTCGCAGCACTATCGGTTCCGGCTATTTATTTTTCATTCACGTCTATCGGCTGCGCCCCCGACGGCGAGACCACTCATAGCTGCATTCAAAGCCAAGACCTGCGCTATAAAAAATTGGCAGATCCCACGTATCATGAGAATCTTTGATATGCGAAGCCCGAATGAGAAATGTTGATATGTCAGTTTAAAATCAGCACAACGTTACAAGGTGGAGGTAAATGATGCCGTACATGACTTTCGTGTCATGATTATGATGCTTGGATGTGTCGTTTACCTTCGTAATCTATTCGCGTCACGTGATAACAAAATTTGGTATATGTGGAACTGGTGAAACGGCTGCGAGCACGTTATGAGCGTGGTGTGTTGTGATGTGCTAACATGACACGCGTGTCAGGATTATCGTGCTACAACCGGTCATATACTTCCTCATCCAACGACGTCACGTAACATCAAATTTGGTATATGTGGAGCTAGCAAAACGGCCGCGAGCGCATCATGAAAGGCCCAATATACACCAGTGTAGCATTGACGCGCGCGAACGCTGGGCACACCGACGCAACGTTAGCAAAACGCGAGCACTCTGTATAATCTAAGTATACTGCGCTGCAAAAAGCATGGACGGAAAAAAGACGAGGACAAGCGCAGACTATCCCGTCTCGTGTTTTCTACCGCGTAGTACACTTAGATATTCTATCATCACATTGCCCAATTAATTAGCACTGTATATTCTGACGCCAGGTGCGACCAGCGTCTGTCAGCAAGGCCCGGCGGCAACCAGTGCGACATGCTGCATTTTGCGCCGATGCGTTTCCTATTTTCCTACCTATTTTCGTGACAGAGGAATGCCGGACGCGCTGAAAAGTGCATGCGTCAAAGCAGCGCGGCGCGCGCCTGCGAGTAAATGGCAGGGCCGGCGCCTGGCGTGGCAACGCCGGCGTGACGCGACGAAATAAACGCCGGCGAACACGCACATCGCGTCAAGTCGAAATGTATTGACGCCTTGATTGTGGCATGTAGTCATGTTCTCGCATGACACGCATCCCATGATTATCATGTTTGCACCAGCCACATGCCTTCGTCATCCATTATCGTCACGTAATACCAAATTTGGCCTATGTGAACTTACCGAAACGGCCACGAGCGCATCATGAGTGTGGCATGTAGTCATGTTGTTACATGACACGCATGTCATGATTTTCATGTTAGAGTCTGTCGCTTGTGCTCGCCATATGCATTAATGCTTTACCATACTAGTTTTTCAACATGCCATGTGAACGAAACCACCGCAGGAGCTGCAGGACCATGAAATGTAAATCATGATATTCGTGACATGCATGTCACGATTTTCATGTTATGACTAGTTAATTATGTTTTCCATACAGATATGTTATGTTATACCACGTTTGGTATCGATACCATTATCGAAGCGGCTAGGAGAGCTAAAAGTCATAGGCGGCTAGATAGATAGATTTAGCGAAAGATACCAGTTAGCGAAAGCACATGTTAACGAAAGTCCAGCAAAGTGCGTGTATTATTAACTCGCCCAAACATTATTAAACATTATTCAGCAGAGAGTACTTTTCGTTATCAAGCAGACGAATCATCGAGCTTTTTGCGAATTCACTGGTCGTATCAGCGAACGAAACAAACGTTGGCACTTGTTCAAGCATGTCGGATTTCGATGCCGTTTCTCGCTCATTCATTGCCGTAAGTAGATCATGGTTAACGTTCATTTACCTGGCTGGACTACTGACTCGCAGGTCACGGGATTGAATCCCAGGTGCGGTGGCCGCATTTTCGATGGGGGCGATAATCATCGAGGCCCGCGTACCTATCTTTAGGTGCACATAAAAGAATACTGAATGGTCGACATTTCCAGGACCCCCTCTACGGTGTATCTTATATTCAAAATATATGGTGGTTTAGAGACATTAAACTGAGTAACTGTTACTGTTAATATTAATATTACTACAACTTCAACTACTACAATTTTTAGTGAGGTTGTTCTTATTGTTATATACGGACAGAGAAGGGACACGGAGGGTCATTTGACAAATGACACAACCTCGGGAATAAAGTAGAGCTTGTCATCCAGCCATTCTCGCGATGAATCGATTTTATTCGGGGTGCAAAATGCTCTGCGGTGCATCGAAAGCCTGTCACACAACGGACAAAGCGCTTCATTTTTTGCGAAGTATAATATTTTATGAGACCTTGTGCTGACAAATAAGTTATCTTTAAAATAATCCTTAAATAATTTAGCAGGAAGCATGCTACCTAAATAAACAAAACTAGTTGTTATGAAAAATAACAAAAATTCTTATTGGAAAAAGATTGCTCCCACGTTTAATGCACATAAATATACCCTATAATGTGTACGGGGGTATTGCCGCACTGTTGTAGTAGCACAGTTGGTAGAGCATCGAACGCGCTATTCGAAGGTCGCAGGTGCGCCGCCTGCTTTGGAAAACTTGTCTTTGGGCCCACTTTTTTTCACAATTACATTACAAGCACTTCCGATAAAATTACCCATGCTGTCACTGATTGATTCATATGTGGGGTTTAACGTCCCAAAACTACCATATCATTATGAGAGGCGCTGTAGTGGAGGGCTCCGGAAATTTAGACCACCTGGGATTATTTAACGCGCACCCAAATCTGAGTATGGACCTACAACATTTCCACCTCCATCGGAAATGCAGCCGCCGCAGCCGGCATTCGATCCCGCGACCTGCGGGTCAGCAGCCGAGTACCTTAGCCACTAGACCACCGCGGTGGGTCATGCCTTCACTGGCATCATTGCCTGTTAGTTCGCATTAATAATATTGTGTCTCACCAAAAAAAGGGGCCCTTAGAACTTCCACCTGCTTCGCAAACAGGTTATGAATGGCATCTTTTGTGAAGTTCTCAATCAGAACTAAGCACATGAAGTACCCTCTTATGTGATTTAGCTGATTTGCAACGAAGTCGTGCTGGCCACCTCACTCGACATAGAGATACTTCGCATGTGCCAATATCCTCGTGTAAACTACCGACTGTAAAGATTACGTTTTTGTCTTCCACATGTTCTGAACAAGTAGAAATCATGAACAGAAAGTTCTTGTACGTTTTCTAAAACTAACATGCTACATTGTATATGGCAATTGTGTTTCATGGCTATAAAGTAAATTTTTGAATGGTTAATCAGTGTCAGTCATTTATTTATTCCTTCGTTTTTAATGTTTTCATTTATTCATTTTTTAATATACTTCCAGACTCATGTAGAGACCATAGCAGCTGGGCGTACCGTTAACACCAATCCAAGTTTCATCACAAAGCCTATAAAAAATTGAAGCACTTTTTCTTTCTTTTTGAATAAACAACAAATACAACAAACACAAACACACTGAAACTGAAACCTAGAACACTAAAATATGAATGAAATATGAAGCAGAGTTCTTCAACAAACTGAAATGTGCAACTCAAGAAAACACATACAAAATAAGAATTAGGTTGTGTTGAAAAAAGTGGAAGTCGAACAAACGTCAGTACCAAAATCTAGCTTCAGATAATGCAAATTGAAAAACATCATTACACAAAAACTGTTTACCAATTGCTTTAAAGTTTTGAATAACTTCGCAAAAACTGTCTTTCATGCGGTGTTAACTATGGATGGATGTAGGCTATTTCATTCATATACAACACGCGGAAAAATAGAAACCGACCGGTATCATTACCAGGAAAGAACTCCATTAGTTTGTAAGAATGATTATGGGGGGGGGGGGGGGGCAATGCTTGACTGATGAAAGGTAATGTATTTTGAGGCATCTAGTTTTAGTTGTTTGTGTATTGTACGATGCGGAAATTTCAGACGAGCTCGTTTCGCCCTAATGGTTTCCTACCCTCACTCTTCGTGGTCGTGTTGCACGTCTCAGTCTTTTTCACAAATTCTTTCATTCAGCCACACGTGACAACCAGCTTATCCAACCAGTACATTGGTCTTTGCACAAGTCACCAAAACGCTGCGATTCCGCCATAGGCTCACACCACATCATTTCAGCAGTGATTCTTTTTGCGCACCGCTAGAGACTGGAAAGGCCTTCCGGTGGACGCGGCAGTCATCGTCAATTCCGCGCGCTTTAAGAATGCCATCCAAGATGCTAACTCAGCTGTGTCTTAACCTTTACTTTTAATACTGGCTTTTTTTATGTCGCCCACCTCTCATGAAAATTTCATACAAAACCTTTGACGATACGATATATAAATAAACGAATAAAGATAACTAAGGTTGAAGTCGCTGACTGCGTTAGTGGAAAAGAATGGCGAGGGACTGTTTCATCATTACTTATGAATCAATATAAATATCTTTCTTTCAATGCCCCCAATTTACACGTATAAGTTTCATTGCGCGGAAACCATGCAACGTTAGCCTCTCCAAGAAGAGGGCTCATAAA